CAGAGCACTCCCCATGGTAAATGCGAAAGAAAATGCTAAGAGATGCAACATCTCTTCGCAGTGACTCGAAAGGACTCGGTCGTCGACGATTCGAGCCGCTCTGCGCTGGATGCGGTCAAGTGGAAGGAGCTGGCACTGGGGAGCCTCAGCCCAGAGATGGGAACAGTATTCCATGTGAGGCCGAACCTGTGCCTTGTAAAGTTGCAGGCGTTGAGCCGGCATGAAATACTGTCCCGCTCTGCTGAGCACGCCAAGCTTTTTAGAGGCCAATTTGGCCTTCTCTTCCAAGTGACCACGAAACTGCACGCTACTCGATATGTCGACGCCGAGGATTCCGATACGACATATCGTTGTCTACACATTCACACGTCGACACATTGTTGCCTAACAAGGGGAGTACCTTGAAACTGAGGAGATACGACAAAGGGGTTCTTTTTAGCGGTAAACGTGCAAATTTGTGTCTTCTGAGGATTAAACTGGACTAGATTTAGTCGCCCCCAATCCGAGACTTTGTCCAGCAAAGACTCGACTTCAGACACAAGTTTGTTCCGTACGTATTGTTTTCGAGATTCGAAAACAATACGTTGACGCGGCTCAGATGGGAAATCGGTCTGTACTTCTACGAGAGAGCGTTATCGCCTTTCTTGAAAAACAAGAACACCGTAGTTCTGCTGCACGCCTCCGGTGTAGTGCCACCCTGGAGGATGGAATTAAAAAGTTTCTGAAGAACTTCAAGTACCGGTTTTCCACCCGCTTTCAGAAGCTCCGCTATAATTCCATCCTCGCCTGAGGCCTTGCCGTTTTTAAGGTGCTGAAGAGACATTCTAATCTCCCTCAGACTGACGTCTGGAATATCATCAGAATAGTGTAGGATAAGACTTGCTTTTGGCTCGTTACTCACACTTGCATGTAGCTCCAAGGATGATGTGTACAGCTGCTCATAGAACCTCTCAATCTCACTCAAAATCTCAAAGTTCAGCTTCGACAGTTGGCTCTTTCTGGCAGACAATTCTCTGGCAAACACTTTGGAGCCATGGCTTCTTCAATACGAGCTGTATTAAATTCGCGTATGTGCCGCCGCATTCACTTCGAGATCTGTCTGTTCAATTGCTGCTGAACACTGCAGCTTCATTTCCCGTCTAACAGCCATGAGATTAAGAGTGTGATCGAATATATTTTGTGTTCTTCTGCGGCGGGTCGTGCAAAACTTAGCTCCGACTGCATGGACAGTTTCCACAACCTTATCATTCATATCGTCCACCGCATTGTAGTTTTCGAGGCACTGAAAACTGTTTTGTAACTGGAGCTGAAAGGTTTCGGGCCTTTGGATAAGAGCACGAGGGGGACGGAGCGTTGACTTCATTAGACAATATCTTTCCAACTTAACGTTTAGGTTCAGTTTCCCTCTAACAATTCGGTGATCGCTACCAGTTTTCACCCTCGCAATTACTGTGACATCACTGAACAGTTGCTGTCTAGTCGTCTTAATGAAGTCAATCTCATTTTTAGGGTTCCGTACCTCAAAAGGAAAAAACGGAATCCTTATAGGATCACTTTGTTGTCCGTCTGTATGTCTGTCTGTCAAGACCTTTTTTATCAGGAACACGTGGAGGTATCAAGCTGAAATTCATATCAAATACTCAAGCCTACTGTCCCTTGGAGCTGTGAAAAAATCAAACTTGTAAGCCAACGCAATCAAAAGATACAGCCGTTTATGCCACAAATTTTCGACATTCGCAAGGGAATCAAAACCTACAGGGTACTTCCCGTGAATTCAGAATCTTAAAATTTGGTACGAAACAATGTATTATAGCACAGATAAAGGAAAAATGGCGAAAAGCATAAATTTTTAGTTACATCATAAAATAAAAATATTTTTAATAATTTTAAACTTATATACCTACGGATTTGTTCGGAACCCTCGGTGTGCGAGTCCGACTCGCACTTGGCCGGTTTTTTTTGTCGAACCGTCGGGGTTCAACTATGCCCACGTGTTTTTGGCGGGACCATGACCGGCGGCGGGACTTTGATATATAAAAGTGGTGCGATTTTGTATATTAAGTGTCTACGCATGTGAACTATTAGTGGAAACGATGAAACAAGTGCTCTAATGGTGATGTGATTCTCAATATAAGGTTGTCTGCTTAGGCGCCTTGAGATACCATTGCGAACTGTCTGCTGGCTCAAGTTGCCGCCACAATCTCCCGAGGACTTCACAATGTGTCGCATCAACATATTGTGAAGCAGTGTACTATGAAGGCTAATTATACAATTGTACTGCGAAGGATAATCATATATTGAAAAATGGAAAACATGGCTGACGCACAAACCGTGCAGGCCAGGAAATGGGGAAGAAGAAGAAGAACTATGCCCACTTCCCGTGGGACCGCTTCTGGAAGAATGAGTTCATTATAAAGAGTCCCTCTTTCTCAATGAAGTCGGTCAGCTGCTGTCCCCTTGGGTTCCGTTGTTGTCCTCACCGTACTCACTTGTGCCTTGTTTTGCGTTGAAGTCTCCCATTAACATTATATAGTGGGTTTTGGAGGAATGCATGGCTCTAGATATATCCTCATACATTTCCTCCACCTCGTCATCGGGATGTGCAGAGGTTAGTGCGGAAACCTGTATGACCTTCAGCGAATATCGTTTGATGATTCTGAGTATAAGGTACGTAGTCCTCGTCGACACACTCCCAATCTTTATAACGTTGTTAACGAGAGACTTGTGGACGATAAATCCGACACTTCCTTGGGACAGATGTTCGTCCTCCCGGTGATAAAACAAGTTACCGTATTCGAGGATTACTGTGTCCTCCCCCTCTCTTCGGACTTCAAGTCGTCTTAGGTGGTAACCGAAACTCCACCGGAGATTTTAGCACCCCCTGCCCCGTCGTTACCATGGTCGCCACCGTAGCCAGAAATAGCGGGGCCGCCGGGGACTGGGGGCCGTCTCTTCGTAATTCACTTCTTTATTCATTCATGGAGGGTATATTGCCATAGTTGCCACGCTTGGCGATCGGCTTGGCAACCGCAGTATTTTATTGTTATTTTGCTGTTATCAGAAAGATGCCCATCTTCTGCCTCAGTTTCCCACTGTTACGAAAAGATATGGGGTAGTGGGTATTCTTACCCGCCACTACACGGGGAACTATTTTATGTAAACTACGTATACGTTTAACGTGATTACCAAATGATATATCAATTTAAAATATAATGACCTTTTTAATACAAAAAAATAATCTTATAATATTTTTACACGTAGAAAGTAACACGTAAAAGGTATTTTTCGCGTCTACGTTAATAAAAAAGTTAAAAGTAAAGTTGCAGCCTATTTACGTCCCACTGCCTATCACAGGCCTCCTCTCATTTCTGAGAGGGTTAATATAATTTAAAAAGTATTATGTATTCCGTTTATACAAGTTAGTCTTTAGAGTTTGGGTATAGAACTATTTAAGCAGTCTTAATAAAATTACTCTTATATATGTATTACTAGCTGACCCGGCTAACTTCGTACCGCCTAACAGTCGATTCTTTAATTTTTTATTTTTTTTTAATACTTATTCTGCTATTCGGGACACCGGGTCAGCTAGTAAGATAAAAAGAAAAAGAAAAAAGAAAGTTGAGAAGTCAAAAATTACATTATGTCAAAAAATAAAAATTATAAAACACTATTGACAAATATTAACATTAATATTTATACGATACTAATGTCACTCAATCGTTTTGCCTTCCCGGAACCCCTCCACTAACACTTAAACTTTATGGTATGGTATTAAAGTTCAAATTGACTTTTAAGTATTATTACGAATCTTTTGTATGGGAATATAGAAAAGTGTTGTTTTTAGACTTTTTCAGGCAATTTTTTTAAATTTTTCTCTCCGTAAGAATCATCTTCGTACTTCAAGGAATATTTATTATAAAAAAGAATTAGCGAAATCGGTTCCGCTGCTCTCGAGATTTGCGCTTAGCAACAAATTCAGCGAATCATTTTTATATTATAGATATCTTATAGGTATTTAAGTTATATAGATAACGAAACGGCTAGACGGCGGGACTAGATCATTGATAATGCACTACGTACCTACCTACGTATACCTAATCTATGATGACAAAAACTGACCGCGCAGGCGCAACGGCTTATATGATATCAACTGCGCATGTGCGACTCTACTATCTCCCGCGCATTCGCGAAGACATAGAGTAGCGCACATTTTTTGCTTGGAACAGTTTCTCTAGTACGTATAACTCAATGGACTAAATATGACATGTACCCGCGATATGCCGACTTTATGTTGTGTGATGGTAGCGAAATAGAACTTATTAGCCTTAACGTCTTGTGTATGTGGTGGATTACGAAAGGAAATGCCAAAAAGTCTTATAATTTTCAAAAGTTGGTGTGGTGTACCAACGATCACATAACTAACTTTCATGAAATATTTAGACTGGCGAGAGACATATGAGATTAGATAGCAGTCATACTATCGCATATAATTTCAGAATACATACAGTAAAGCGGTAGAGCCAAACTGCAGTTGTATTAATTTTGCTGCAGCACGAATATCGAAACAGTATCAGGACACACCCAGATCGAAGGATATAGGTATGTTATGCTATTTAAGGTATGATCTTTAAATGGCATAGCACCATCCATAAAATAGCAGCATAATGCTTCTGTTTTGTATGGCGAGTAACGGGAACCAGAGATCCGGGGGGTGACTACACATTCTAATTGCTAAGTAAAAAAGTAAACAAAAATTAAAAAACTGAGAATAAATGTAGGTGTTTATTGACCTCCACATGTAAAGGTGAAAAATGTCTGTAGGAGATCGATGTGTTGCGTGCTTGTTTGATTAAAAATGCCACCTTTTGAAACGGCTTCTGTCCGCACGGAATAAGTGGTAGGCATAACGTTTTGACATTGTATAGTGAGATTGAACGGCATGTTAATATTATAGCCATTTAGAATCAACTTATTATTTATATATATAATTTTGTTCACAGATGCTAAAGAAAACTGCAACAAGGAAGAGGATCTATTACAAAGATGTTCCATGGCATTACCAGTCCTTAGCTCGCCGGAGATATCGTTTGCTCTCACGAGAGAAGAGCTAGATAAGAGTTGCATGTAAGTTTGTTTCAATTTTTGTTGTTTAATATAATTATTTCTGTCAGACCATAATTATATTTGTCAGAGTAATTTATGATGGTTCAATGACAGGCATATGTAAAGATACAACTTATCTCAAATATCATACAAAATATCCATAACTGTAATTTAAGACAGTTGTCCGGGTTTGGAATGTGGTGTGGTGATTTTTATTAACTCTTTAAGTAACAACACTGCTATTTTCTCGACTTTTCATTAGGAAATAGTCGTAAGGAGCATGAAATTGTTAAAAAAAAATTGTTAAAATATGGTTTCTCCACTTTTTGATGTCCTTTGAGTTCGATTCTCTGTCGATTCGATTGTTTGTAGGTCCTTAAGTTAATAAATATTTCGTCTCGTATGTGTTTCAAGAATCGACAGTCAAACTATCATATCGACTCAAAACCAATTTATTTCGATGCGTCATTACATAATGAGCATGATTAAGTTGCCGCAAGAAGCTAGTTAGTTTTAAAGAAAGTTATCACGCTTTAATATTTTGGTAGTTTGCTAATCTTTTGACGTCAGGAAAAGGTAAACATGTCCCATTGCTGAGCACAGGTCTCCTCATATTCCGTCGTAACATTTCTTAATTTTCTACCAACTTAAAAAAGGAGGAGTTACTCAATTCGACTGTATGTTTTTTTATGTGTATTACCTCATAACTTTTTCTGGGTGAACCGATTTCGATGATTCTTTTTTAATTGAAAGCTGGTTCTTCTCATGTGGTCCCATATAAATTTGATTGACCAGTAGTTTCTGAGTTATCCTTAATAATTTATATTGAAGTCGGTTGTACAAAATTTTCAAATTAAGATAATATTATTTATCAAACAATCGATGACCGGCACGCGGAGTTTTATAATTCGTTTAAATTTCGGAACCTTTTGAGATATTCCTATTAAAAATAGGTAAGTTATCCAGGGCTACCACCACTTACCAGCTGACCTTTTATCGATTTTTTTTCTGGTAGCATTTGCAATACATTGAAAAAGGTAGTATTTCAAGTTTTATATTTAGAAATAATAGTTGCCTTATAGTTAAGGGACCGGATTGCGAACCAAAAAAGTCGCAGGTTGGAATCCGTCATTAGACTACTGTCGTGAACCAATCCTGGCACAAGCACTTTAAGCTTAGCTGAAGTTGTGTTAATAGTATTCTTTAAAAAATATTCATGAATTTTAATGATTTTGTTTTCAACTATCATAACATAATACACGAACTCGTATTTGGATGCTTTCGGAAAGATCAGTTAAACTCGCTTTTGCAAAGCAATAAATTGTGAAAGTATGATTTTCAAGACCGAATTATGTCCCATCAAGAGCATAAACTTGAAAAGGCCGCCATGTTTAGTTCAAACGATTTGAAACAGAAACAGAAACTTTTTTATTCAATATAGATTATAAATAATACTTATTGAAAGTCATTCTTTTGTTTGATTACCACTGGTTCGGAAAAAACCTCTGTCCTGGGAAGAACCAGCAAGAAACCCAGCGGGACTTTTTTTTAAAATAACAGCTTACAATCATGATGTTACACAAATTAACAACACAACAAATTAGAAATAGCTTGGTAGCGATCACCTCATTTCCAGGGGTTATTATCATCCATAAATTCCTTAATATTATAATAACCCTTTTTATACAAACTTAGTTTAATAAAGTTTTTGAACTTGGAACAGGCCAAACTTTGTATATTTTCTGGAATTTTGTTGTAAAAGCGTATACATCGCCCCAAGAATGAATTACTGACTCGATGGAGTCGAGTAACTGGTACTACTAGCTTGTGTCTGTTCCTAGTATTTACAGAATGAATATCACTTATTTTTATAAAACTACTTTTATTTTTGTGTACGTACATTAAATTTTCATAAATGTATTGAGAGGCCAAAGTTAATATATTAATTTCCTTAAATTTTTGTCGCAGCGACTCTTTAGGCTTTAAATCATAAATTGCTCTTATGGCCCTCTTCTGCAAAACAAATATAATTTCTGTGTCAGCTGCGTGTCCCCATAGCAAAATACCATACGACATTATGCTATGGAAGTAGCTGAAGTAAACTAGTCTAGCTGTTTCAACACTGGTTAGACTTCTAATCTTTTTTACAGCATATGCTGCAGAACTAAGTCTGCTTGCTAGTTTTGATATATGGGGGCTCCATTGAAGCTTCGCGTCTAATGTGATTCCAAGAAAAATGGTGGTATCTACAAGACTCAGTTTCTCCCCATTTAAAATTACATTAGTATTTAATTGTTTGACATTTGGAGTCACGAATTTCATACATTTTGTTTTAGTGCCATTTAAATGCAAATTATTAACATCGAACCAATTTACTAATTTAGATATAGCATTATTTACTTCGTCATATTTTAGTAACTGTCGACTTAATTTGAAAATTAAAGAAGTGTCATCTGCAAATAATACTATATCATGGTTATCCCCTACTATGTAAGGTAAGTCATTAATGTATACAAGAAACAGAAAGGGGCCGAGAATTGAGCCTTGAGGCACGCCCATTTGTACCATCGATCCGGAAGAGCTCATATTTTTAATGACAACTTTTTGCGTTCTCTTACTTAAATATGAAATAATTAATTTAAGGGCATCACTTCTTACACCGTAGTGTTGAAGTTTCCTGATTAATGTTTCATGGTGAACACAATCGAAGGCCTTGGATAGGTCACAAAATATACCCAAAGCATCCTGTGAATTCTCCCATGCATTAAAGATATATTTAATCAGCTCAACACCGGCATCAGTTGTCGAGCGACCCCTTGTGAAACCAAATTGATTTTTATGAAGTAAATTATTTATATTAAAAAAATTTAACATTTGATCAAGAACAATTTTTTCAAAAATCTTACTAAGTGTTGGTAGTACAGAAATAGGTCTGAAATTGGCGGGGTCTAATGTACTACCAGATTTAAATAAAGGTATTACTTTACTATGCTTCATTAAATCAGGAAACACACCAGATTCGATACTAGTATTAAAAATAATAGCTAAATGAGGCGCGATTGTATCTATTATAGACGCAATAACTTTAACGGAAATCCCCCACAGATCCGCAGTTTTCTTAACATCAATAGTTTTAAAATATTTTACAATATCTTTTGATGTCACTTTATGAAATGTAAAATTCTTTGTACACACATTTACATTATGTTTAAGTAATGATTCGGCGACGGCAGGAGAAGAATTTAGTGACTTAGTGGTCAAGATCGGAATATCAGTAAAATATTTCTCAAAAACCATTGCTACGTCCTGATCTGATACAGTTAATTTGTTGTTAACACTTAACTGGTAATTTGAATTGCGAGAGTTGATCTTACCAGTTTCGCTATTAATTATACTCCATGTCATTTTAATTTTATTGGAAGCCGTCTTAATTTTGTTGCTCAAATGCAAAGACTTGGCTATGGAGCACACTCTTTTAAATATTTTTGAATATTTTTTTACATATTCCCTAAATTCGACGCTATGATTATATGACCTTTCATGGTAAAGATCATATAACCTATGCCTGCTCTTATGGACTCCTACTGTCGCCCATTCATTGAATGACTTCCGACTGTTCAAGGAGAATGTTTTAGAAGTAAAAGTGTTATTAAATTCATTGCAAATAAGCTTAAATATATAATATAATATATAATATAATATAATATAATATAATATATAGCTTAAATATAATATTTTCGTGGTTGTCTGCCTTCCCGATAAAAGAGGTGAGATATAAACGGGCGCTAAACTCCATAAAACGTTGAACATTCCCATAGATCTTATTATTTAAGAAACACACACACAATAACTTTGTCATTACACATTGACCCGGAATATTGATAATTTTTTTTTATAGAATGGGTTGACAGACGAGCACACAGTCCACCTTATGGTAAGTGGATGCTGTGGCCCATAGAAATGTAAAAAGTAATGATAATGAAAATAAAACACGGTAATAAAAGTTAAAATAATAATTTATTTTTCTACATAGTCTCCTAACAAATCAATACATTTAGTCCATCTTTTTTCTAAAACCAGGATTCCCTTTAAAAAAATTCTTTGTCTTGACCCTCCCAAAAAGCTTCAACAGCGGCCATTACTTCGCTATCGTCTTCGAATTTCTTGCCTCGGGGGCGTTCCTTGAGCCGAGGAAAGAGATAGAAATTCTTAGGAGCTAGATCTGGCGAATAGGGAGGGTGTTCGAGCAGTTCGAATCCCGTTTCTTGAATGGCAGCCATCGCAACTGCGGCTTTGTGAGCCGGTGCGTTGTCTTGGTGAAACAGCACTCCAGCTCGCAGTTTGTCGCGTCTTTTTTCCTTAATGGCCTCCCGTAATCTTCTTATTTGGTCTGCGTAGTAAGAGCCCGTAATAGTGGCTCCCTTTTTCAAATATTCCACCATAATTATGCCTTTAGCGGCCCAAAAAACAGATGCTATAACCTTGCCCGCCGAACTTGAAATGTTGAATTTCTTTAGCGTCGGTGAGGAGGCTCGCTTCCAAGTCATCGATTGTTGTTTCGTTTCAGGATCAAAATGGTGGATCCAGGTCTCGTCCATAGTTACAAAATGGAACAAAAAATTTTCTTGCTCTGCTTGGAACTTTTCGAGATTGACCCTCGAAATGTCAACTCGATTTTTCTTTTGCTCGTCGGTTAACATTCTGGGTACCCAACGCGCAGAGACCTTTTTCATATGCAACTCGTTCGCAAGTATTCTTTGAACGCTGCCATATGAGATCCCTGTGACCTTAGCTACATGCCTAATGGTCACTCTTCGATCTGCCAACACAATATCTTCGACTTTTTTCACGTTGTCTTCATTGAGGGACGTGGATGGGCGTCCTTCGCGATGTTCATCTTCAGTGTATGTTCTGCCCAGTTTAAACTCCTTGGCCCAGCGTGCAACTGTAGAATATGGAGGAGCAGAGTCCCCCAATGTTTCCACTAAGTCCCTGTGTATGTCTTTTGAAGACATTTTTTCAAACAGAGGTACTTGATGACAGCTCTAATTTCGTTTTTCTCCATGTTGATGTTATCTCTTTGACAGTTCGTATTCAAATGAACGTATCTCCCGGAAATCGTGATCTATTTATATGATTTTTTTAGGCTGACGTAGTGAGTATATAAGCAAGCAAAAAATATTTTTTTTGGATTTTTATGCGGACCTGAAGTAACCGATTATCATTACTTTTGGATCACCCACTTTTATCTTCGATTAAGAATCTAAATGCAGATGCGTTGTTACCCGAGAAGACTACGATGTAATGTATCGTATCCAGTAAAAAGGGTCTCCGGTACACTCGCCATACGAAACACAGCATCATTAAGATACTATTTTACGCTGGTATTCTGTGAGAGCGTGGTCCTTCCCCGGTCAAGCCAACCCATTCGTGCTGCAACCATAATTTAGCTGCAGCGTGGCTCTACCACGTAGAGTCTACCACGATTTGTAGATTTTAGATTATTCCATCTAATACGCCTAACGAACTCCCTTAAAACCAACTCTCAAGTATCTAAGTAACCTAGAAATGACCTAGGTTTTTGATGAGTGAGTCAGTGAGTGATAAAATTGGCACTCTTTCGGACCTTCATAACTCAAGGAATGCAATAGGTTTTTTCATTACATTTGGGATTCTTGGTATCCAAGAGACACTCACTAGGTATGCAAAATTCAAAGTATGTAGGTCTAGATAATGAAACTAAATAAACATGACTTGTGAGTAATTGAAAATTGAAAGGCTTCACTACCGCTCCTTATCTCGTGAACTATCCAGTGGTTTTGTAATACAAGATGTGCTTACTACTCGATGCACAATAGACGACTTTTATTACGTGAACAAAGAGCAATAGGATCTAATGTTTACTAAACTATAGATAAATGTGGATCTGTTTTCATTAATGACGTATAGTGCAAGATTATGCCGCCAAGTATATGTTCGATATCAATCGAATTTGTTCTGTACGTCACTTTGTTTACATTTTTGTGCCAAGTGTATAATAATCTATCCTCAGTTCTTCCTAGTGCTAAAATTACTGACATACAAGTGACGTCTCGTCTCAACAGTTTATCACGTTGATTACAAAACATCAGTCAGATGTTTTGTAATCAACGTAAAAATGTAGCAGTAATTTTCGTAGATAATATATATATATTTTTAAAACGTTACCCCCACACTAGGATTTTCTCCTGTATCGTGGAAACAGTTTGCAAACATAGATTGCACAAGGACAAACATTCAGATCTGGAACAATTATTTGTAGACCATACAAATACTTGAACCGCGCGGGATTCGAACCCGCGACACCCAGCGCTGTAGCTCATTGCTAAGCCATTGCGGCACGGAGCCGTCGTCGTATTATTAATATACTAAGCTCGTGCTATTTCGCAGTACGAGCAACCTAACTCTGATTCCTACCGGCACTAATAAAATTGTTAATTGCCGATTTACTACTTGTTGGTGGTGAAAAAAAAAAAACTATCGCGTCGAGAAAGAAGAGATTAAAATATTTAATATTTTGAAGACGTGAAGTCGGCCAACAAGACTTGGGGCGGCGCTGTGGAAACATTCTTGCTCTAAAACACTCTCAGAAATGAGAGAAAGCCTTTGCACAGACGTGGTACGCATATAGGCTGCTCGCATAATATGCTATTTACCACGTGTTCGGTGGTGAAAGAAAACCTCACGAGGAGAAGGTTCAAAAATTAAAATATAAAATATTTCGATTTTCGATGACATAATATACGAAGTCTGCCAATATTGTGGCAGCGCGGCAGACACTTTCGTGCCATAAAAACGTCGCATAAACGAGCGGAGGCTTGTGCCTTAAACTTAGTACTTCAAAGTTAAATATAAAAGATTGCTGGCGTTTAATTTTGACTGCTTGAAATTTTAAAATTGCAATTTTATCTCAAAGCTTATTCAAAGAAAAACTTAAAGTCAAAGTTTATACATTTTAACGTAAATAGCGCTACACGAGGCTATTCAGCTTACTCATTTAATGCCCTGCAACTCAGCGTAAACTGTGAAAGTTAAGTTAAAGAGTTCACAAGACGTAGGCACTTTAAGTAAAGTCGTGCATACACTTAACTCATCTCAATTTACGGCTCTTGTTTGAGGTAAGTAGCAATTTGAATCTAGTTGTCCCACTGTCTAACTTGACTTGGTGCTTGATTGAAGTGCTGAATAGCCAATGAGGGGAGTTTGGGTAGCGTTGTCAACTAATTATATTTTATTCAACTAGAGGCCGAGTAAATCTGTAGGATTTTTCTGTGCCCTTTTAGATTTGTGTTGCGTATGCCTAAATTCCATTAGTTATAAGCATTATGATAGAAAAAATTTTTTTATTCACCCTTTAGTACTTCATTTGATAATAATTAGACCAAAAAACGATCCAACCTACACTCAGGGCAAGTATGAGTTATATAGTATGTGAAAACCATGTAGAGACGGTGTAAATATCCTCTACACAATGTCACCCCCTGGGTGTCGTAAGAGGCGACAGAAGGAAACAAACCAGCAAATTGCCAACATTGTCTTTCTAGTAACAACTAGAAAATTAAAACTGCAATTGCCTACCTGCCAGCCGAACGTGGCAAATATGGCAAGTATCTCCCTTATGAGGCAATCTATGGGAGGCCTATGTTCAACAGTGGACTTTGACAGGCTGTAATAAATGAACATGTCAAAATATTGCCGTTAAATATTGCCGGTGGAGATCGAACCCGGGTTGGTCGCATACTGTACGGCGAGCGCTAACTCCTGCACTACCCCGGCTCTCTGCCTGTGTATTCGCTTATAACTTTTGAAACTACTTGTTGGATGCGATTTTGACATTTAAAGGGTTTCCTGAGGGAGATTTTACTGTATAATATATATATTCATTTTTATGTAGAAATAGTAGACAGTTTCGTAAACTGTTGAATAGAACTAATTTTACGAGTTTTGTCGTGTTTAAATTATTTGTGGTTATTTGAATTCTCGACGCTTCGGGTGCTTTACAGAAGTCAGGTGTTTGAATGTAACTGTTAACTCGGGCTACCTTCAGATTAATATTAAATTTATATTCAAAACCTATAGGTAGCCCGAGTTAACAATGATATTGCGACGTCAAACACCTCAGTAGTTTTATTCAATGTGTATTCGTATAAATATAAGAAATCGTTTTGTAACTTTGTTTTTTAAAACACGTAAATCACATCCGTACGATCGGAGCGGAGCGGGTCGCTAGCTTTAAATAAAATAAAACAGCACTTAAAATTTCAACAATCCCTAAGTGAAAATTTGAGTTTGGATAAAATTTTCATCCGATGTTTTAGTCTGCCGCTGTTTACAATTTACCTTTTATTGTTTTAGAGAACTTCGTGCCGGCATCAAATGTATAGATAACTACACACAACTGTGCATGGAGAAGAACGAGCAAGTCGTGTTCAGAAGAATATATGCGGGCATTATAGATGTAATTCAAGAGTTGTGTACACGAGGGCAGTATCAAGACGAATATTTGAGACACGCGGATTGTGTCAAGAACGTGCGGTCGGAGTACGAAACCTGTAGCAAGAAGTATGAGGTGACGCTGACTACTCTGAGCAGCCATCAGAATGATCAGTATCAAACGGACCAGAATGAAGTAGTCGACAATCACGAAAAACACTTGAGGACTGTTTGTTGGTAAGTGATAATATGAAAGTAGAATTGCCTAGTTAGTCTAGTGGTTAAAATGCAACTACTGGTCAAAAGGTCTCAGGTTCGTATACCGGACCAAAAAATCAGTTACTCATTAAGTTCTCCTATCAAGAAATTCTCAGTAGCGGTCCAGTCAGGAAATTGGCGGTATTTCACTTCCGTGCCTAAAGTTACGTGGTAGAGCCATGCTGCAGCTATATTATGGATGTAGCAGGAATTGGTCTGCTCGACCGGGGAAAGACAACGCTCTCAAAGAATATCCACGTAAAAAGAAACTCAATGCTGATGTGTTTCGTATGGTGAGTGTAGGGAATCGGAGTCAATCTGCATTTTAATTCTTACTCGAAGATAAATGTAGATGTCTATGGGCTGCAGCATCCACTTACCATCAAGTTAACTGTGTGCTCGTTTGTCACCTTTGAGATTATAACGGCTTTGCACAATTCTCCCTGCATAAATTAAAAAATACTGCAGGCTTATGGCTTATGCTTATTATGGGAGTGACGGAATGGAGATAGAGAGTGCCATCAAACGTAAAAGTTTGGCGAGTTTATAATTAAGTAACACCACTGTATCATAAACTGATTGATAAATAAATTTAAAAAAAATCTGTGCTTGCCCTTACATCAACACGGTATCAAAACACGAGGTGGGTTACAGATTATTAATTGTGCTGGTTCGATTTTAATAAATTATTTTAAATTTTAAAGCCGTAAATTTTTGTCAGTGCCAAACTATTTTCTATTTCAATAAACACGTTATTCGGAAAAATGAACAACGTAAACACACGGACGTTATTCGTTGACGCCCACGAACGATGTACGAACTACGCATATAAATTTTGTTATCAGCCCCTTAAAGGGCTTTGGATAGGTTATGTTTGTAGTTTCTCTGTTTGATGAATATAATATTTTTCCCGTGTAGTGGCGGGTAAGAATACCCTCTACCCTATATCTTCCTGTGGGTGTGGTAAGAGGCGACAGAGGGAAACAATAAAAAAATGCGGTTGCCAACCCGCTCGACAAACGTTGCAACTATGTCAATACGTCTCATGATTAAAGTTACAAAGAGATGGCCCCGCTATTCCTGGCTAAGGTGGCGACCATGGTAACAACGAGGCAGGGGGTGCTAAAAATCTCTGGTGAAAGTTCGGTTGCCACCTAAGAAGACTCGACCTGGCAACATACAACGCACGCACCCTGAGGACTGACGAGAAGATCCTGGAGCTGTAAGAAGAGATAGACAAGTTGCGCTGGAATATTATAGGATTATCTGAGGTCCGAATAGAGGGAGAGGACATGGTAATACTCGAATCCGGCAACTTGTTCTATCACCGGGAGGGCGACCATCTGTCCCAAGGAGGTGTCGGATCTATCGTCCACAAGTCTGTCGTTAACAATGTTGTAAAGATTAAGAGGATGTCGACGAGGATTGCGTACCTTATATTCAGAATCACCAAACGGTATTCGCTGAAGGTCATACAGGTTGACGCACCAACTTCGCCACATCCCGATGAGTAGGTAGAGGAAATGTATAATGATATCTCTAGAGCTATCCATTCCTTCAAAACCCACTACAGCACCTTAAAAACAGCGAAGCTTCTGAAAGCGGGTGGAAAACCGGTACTTCAAGTTCTTCAGAAGCTCTTTAATTCCGTCGTCCACTACACGTACGCACGTCACTTCACTTCACGTACACATTCCGACACTACATCGGTAGTGTGGAGCAGAAGTACGGTGGTCTTGCTTTTCAAGAAAGGCGACAACGCTCTCTTGAAGAACTACAGACCGATTTCCCTTCTGAACCGTGTCTACGTACTGTTTTCGAGATTCATTACGAATCTTCTCGCACGCAGTTTCGACGACTTCCAGCTTCCCCAACAAGCGGGTTTCCGAAAAAGCTTTAGCACCATAGATCACATACAAACTCTTCGGCAAATTGTACAGAAGTCCATGGAGTACAATTTTGCCACTATGCCTGGCGTATGTTTGCTATGAGAAAGCCTTTGAATCCGCCAACATTTGGGCAGTGCTGCAGTCCCTTCAGCGGTGCCAAGTTGACTGTCAGTATATCGAAGTGCTAAAGTGTTTGTACAGTAGGGCTACGGTGGCTAGCCTAGTACAAAACCAGAGTACGAAATCTATCCAACTGCAGAAAGGTGTAAAACAGGGTGACCTTATATCCCTGAAACTCTTCGCCGCTGCATTGGAAGACGTTTTCCAGCCTCTGGACTGGAAAGGGTATGGTATTAACATCAATACTATCGTACCTAATCACTAACCTTTGATTCGCCGGCGATATAGTCCTTATGGCAGAATCGCTGTAGGTCCTAAGCACTATGCTCAATGGCCTCAATAGTGGCTCCCAACGTATAGGTCTTAAGATGAACATGTACAAAACTAAGATCATGTATAACGGCCATGTCATACCTATGCCGGTAGTTATTGGGAGCACTAAGCTCGAAGACAAATAGTCCGACTAGGCAAGTCCAACTTCGACCGAGAGGTCAATCGACGGATTTAACTCGGCTGGGCAGCGTTCGGGAAATTACGGCACATCTCGTCAGGTATACCTCAAAACTTGAAAACGAAACTGTACAACCAGTGCGTGTTGCCACTGATGACCTATGGAACTGAAACGTGGTCTTTCACTGCTGGCCGAATGGGGAAGCTCAAGGTCGCTCAGCGAGCTATGGAGAGGGCTATGCTCGGAGTTTGTCTGCGTGATAAACTTAGAAATGAGCATATCCGCAGTAGAACGAGAGTGACCGACATAGTCCAATGGATTAGTAAGCTGAAGTGGCGATGGGCTGGCCATATAGCTCGAAGAACCGACAACCAATGGGGAAAAAGGTTCTCGAGTGGCGGCCTCGTACCGGCGGACGAAGTGTAGGGCGTCCCTACTAGATGGAGTGACGACCTGGTAAGACATGCAGGAAGTTGATGGATGCAGGTGGCTCGGGACCGTGCTTTGTGGCAGAAAGATCTCTGGCAAATACTTTGGAGCCTTGGTTCCGCTCGATCGCTTCTTCAATACAAGCTGTATTGAAGTTGCGTAAGTCCCGCCGCATGCATTTGGAGATCTGTCTGTTCAGTTGCCTGTATGCTGTCAAATCTGTTGAAGACTGTAGTTTCATCTCCCGTCTAACAGCCATGAGAGTAAGAGTGTGATCGGAGAGTTTTTGTGTTCTTCTGCGGCGGGTCTTGCAGAACCTAGCTCCGCATGAACAGTTTCCACGAGCTTGCCATTCATATCACTTCATTGCAGTCTTCTAGGCACTGAAAACGGGTTTGTAACTCGAGCTGAAAGGTTTCGGGACTTTGGAATAGAGCACGAGGTGGACGGAGCGTTGACTTCATTAGACGAGACCTCTCCAACTTAACGTTTAGGTTCAGTGTGCCTCTAACGATTCGGTGATCGCTACCAGTTTTCACCCTCGCCATCACGGAGACATCACTGAGCACTTGTCGTCTGGTCGTCATAATGAAGTCAATCTCATTTTTTGTGGAACCGTCGGGGCTCGACCAGGTCCACTTCCTGTGGGACCGCTTCTGGAAGAAAGAGTTCATCATATAGAGTCCCTCTTTCTCCATGAAGTCGGCCAGCTGCTGGCCCTTTGCGTTCCGTTGTCCTATTCCAAATTTCCCTACTTTCAGCTCACCGTTCTCTCTTGTACATAGTTTTGCATTGAAGTCTCCCAGTCTGTCTCCGACACCTCATTGGGACAGATGGTCGCCCTCCCGGTGATAGAGCAAGTTGCCGGATTCGAGGATTACCGTGTCCTCCCCTTCTCTTCGGACCTCATATAATCCTATAATATGCCATCGTAACTTGTCTATCTCTTCTTTCAGCTCCACGATATCCTCGTCAGTCCTCAGGGTGCGTGCGTTGTATGTTGCCAGGTCGAGCCGTCTTAGGTGGCAACCGAACCTCTACCAGAGATTCTTAGCACCCACTGCCCCGCCGTAACCATGGTCGCCACCTTAGCCAGGAATAGCGGGGCCGCCGGGGCCGTCTCTTCGTAACTTTAATCATGAGGCGTATATTGACATAGTTGGTTGGCAAACGCAGTTTTTTATTGATGAGATGCTGCTGCCCATCTCCTGCCTGTTTCCCTTTGTCGCCTTTTACGACACCCACCGAAAGATTTGGGGTAGTGGATATTCTTAATCGCCACTACACGGCAACTGGCACTATATGACAAACTACACTGGCAGATAGCTAATGTTATATGGAGTTTAGGCTACTTTTTATTTCAGATAAGGAATTAGGGTTCCGTGCAAAAAATTAAAAACCATAAAATCCAATCGTAATAAATTCCACGCGGATGAAAGCGCGGGGAACAGATAGTATGTAATGTAATTATTGTATAAATAAGCGTCATATTGTAAAAGTAAAACCTACTCCCTAAACGCTTTCACTTCTTATTACTTTTTAAATATACTAAAGCATTAAGTAGATTTATTGGTCACATTTTTTAAATTTTTTGCACATTCTGTCCTGCTTAAAATTCTACTCGAATCCTATCGGATTATGGAACGCGTTTTAACGATTATTCCTACTTTGTAAATCCTCATCGTTAATCGCTAATTTCGTTTTACTCAATTAATATAACAAAACTTTAAAAAAATAGCACGAATTAGACGTTTTTCTTCCAATACTTATTGAAACTACTAGTAATATTTAACTTTACCACTGGTTATTGTTTTTAAAATAAAATTAATTTCTTAGAATTCTTAGCCAAACGAACATTTATTTTGATTTGAAATGAAATGTACTACAGAACGGCAATTTCGTAGTAAAGACCCATTATTCTGCTGCCATTTTCCTTTGCCGCCACTACTTGCCGAATGCGAATTAAACTATTATTTATTTTCTATTTTTTAGTGCGGCTAACTACAAAAGCGTGTTTTTTTTGGGAACGAAGTTCTTTACCGCGGCTTACAGTAGATTGAACTAGCGGAAATCGTAGTTGTTTTATGAATTATTCGCAAATCCCGAGGATCCTAGCAAGGATAATGGGACAAACTATTTAAATTATTTCATTGTCATCGGTCCTTGATAAGTGTGCGAATTTTCAAATCAATCCGAAGTTTTGAAGGGGATGAAAATGTTATTCAATAATTCCATTACATAGATACATACCAAGCTAATAAAAGCGTGTTAAAAATTACAGACTTATTTAAATGACTTTTTATGTTATCTAATATAATACATTAATCTTTAAAATACTTGACATTCAAATTCACAAAAAAGATCCAGAACGTAATTTAACGGTATTTCGATGGGTAGTCTATTTATTACAGCTTGAGTTCAATGACACGATTTGATAGGTGTCTTATGGTTATGGTTGTATTCCAATTCCTCTCATTATATACTGTAACGAAGTAATTAATTACATTAATAAAGGATTTTTTTTTAATTCATTTAATAAATACCATTTGCGCAGAATATTACTATATTGAACGAGTTTTTGCGCAAGCATAGGTATACTTTCTATTCCCTCACTCTTACGAGTATAATTCGATAGGACGGTAATCCGACACGACCAGAGAAAGATCAAACGAAACCAAACGGTAAACGGTAAACCAACGGTTTTATGACTACGTATTTTCTGAGGCAAGGGGGTGAAACACCCCCCCCCCCCCCCCAACAGTCATCTCCCTGACTTTTTTATAGGAATAGGTTGACAAATAAGCACACAGTTCACCTAATGGTAAGTGGATGATATGATCCATAGATATCTACATCTATCCTCGATTAAGAATCAAAATGCAGACGTATTGTCACCCCGCCTCGTTTCCAGTAAAAATGGTCTCCGGATCTCAACACGCACTATACGAAACATAGCAGCAATAAGTGATGTTGACATTTGTGACGACGTATTATAATTATTACATATTGAGTATTATAAAAGTCGTCATATTACTGTATTAAACCAGAGAAACTTTATATAAACTTTATAAAATAGATTATAAGTCGCAGCACGTAAGTCTAGCGCTCAACGAAACGTGGAGGGGATAGCTGCGCATGGGTACTGTCGCGCAGAAATAGAATTGCACGAATGCGGACTAGAGAGCCAATCAGCGCGTGCAAACGATACGCATGAGCCAATCAGCGCGTGCGATTGACGCACGCCCACCCCGCGACCCGTTTACTACCCCATGATACCTTATTTTCGACTTATGCGCAATAACGGTCACCGCTAGACTTTCGTGCCGCTACTCATATCATCATTATCATTACAATCCTTCACAAGTCCACCGCTGAATGTAGGGCTCCTTCAAGGAATGCCATGTTGTTTTTATTGGATATTATCGCGTTCAATTTAACTCAGGAACTCTTGTGAACGTGGGTGCGTCGAAACACTTATAAATCGAAATTTGAAAATAAGTTTATTTAATTTTAATCGTTTATGTAATATTAAAAAGTCGAGGTATTATAAGTTTGTAGTGTGTATCTCTGTATCTGTGTGTCTGTCTATGGCATTACAGCTTCTGAACGGATGAATCGATTTTAACCCCCGGCGGAAAAAAGGGGTTTTATATCTCTAGTGTTATACACACTGTGTGTAGTCTGTGGCAACGTAGCTCCCAAACAGATAAACCGATTTAGATTAATAGTTGGTTTTTGTTGATTTGATTCTGATTTTGTTGAGATTGATTGAGTTAAGTTGACTTGATGATGATTCAAGAAAATTCTTTTAGCCGTTTGAAAATCATCCGCTCTTTTTGTTTCGGTTTTTTTTAATTTTCAATTTAAGTTACGGTTAAGATTTTTTCGTTTGTAAGGTGTCTTTTCTTAATCTTGAAACATAGCTAAGAACACTCTCGATTAAGAAAAGACACCTTACAAACGAAAAAATCTTAATCGTGAGTGTTCTTAGCTATGTTTCAAGAAAATCTGTTTAGCCGTTTGAAGATCATCAGTTCTTTTTGGTTCGATTTTTTTTTAAATTTTCAATTTAAGTATACGATTAAGTTTTTATCGTTTGTAAGGTGTCTTTTCTTAATCGAGAGTGTTCTTAGCTATGTTTCAAGAAAATCTGTTTAGCCGTTTTAAGATCATCAGTTCTTTTTGTTTCGATTTTTTTTAAATTTTTAATTTAAGTATACGATAAAGTTTTTTTTTCGTTTGTAAGGTGTCTTGTCTTAATCGAGAGTGTTCTTAGCTATGTTTCAAGAAAATCTGTTTAGCCGTTTGAAATCATCAGCTCTTTTTGTTTCGGGGATTATTTAAATTTTTAGTTAATGTTATTTTAAGTTGTTAATAAAAAATATTTTATTACCCACTATCGCCTCTTACAACACCCACGGGATGATATGGGGTAGTGAATTCCCTTACGACGTCGCGTACGTTCTGTATTGTATTTTTATTCATTTGATATTAAAATTATGCTTGCAGTTCATTCCAAGAGTATCTTCTGTGTTCGGAGCATACGGTACAAAGATCATGCGGCGATGAAGCGGCAACGTTCACGAGCACATTTCTTAAAAGGATGGCATCCAATATTATTAAGGTATGTTTATCGAATCTTTTTTTTAAATACTTTAATACATTTTATTTATTGAAATATTTTAAGTAAGCTATCTAATATATAAAAAATAATGTTTGTTTGTTCATCAGATTGCGCTAAAACTTTGTCAACTTATTGCATGCTTGTTATTGATATAGTAAAATTAACATACAGTACGTGGCACGCGTATCGTGCCGACAAATTTATTGGAAATTTATATATCAATTCAATTTCAATGAATGTATTACAGTTCCTAATTAAACAATATAATTGTTCTAAATTTGAAACGATATTTTCACAATCATTTCTTCTACAGCAGTAACGTGTCGGGTTCAGCTAGTTAATATTAAAAAAACGTAAAATACCCAAAGGCTTAGCCAGGTTGACTCTACAATCGTTAACGCTAATAGGAAACTGTAAAAATGAGTTGAATGACATTTCTCATAGTCACGTGACAATCACGTTGACGACGTATCGATCGTTTAGTATAATAAAACACACGTTTGACGATCGCTATCATCATCATCATTATTATCATCGTCATCATCACAACCCTTCACAAGTCCACCGCTGAACAAAGAAACGTCACAAAGCATGGACCTAAGCCGCCTGCATCCATCGGCTTTCTGCATGTCTTACCAGATCGTCACTCCATCAAGTGACGGGCCGCCCTACATTTCGGCTAGCGGTACGAGGCTGCCACTTGAGAATCTTTCTTACCCATCGGTTGTCGCTTCTTCGAGCTATATGGGCAACCCATTGTCACTTCCGCTTACTAATCCTTTGGCCTATGTCGGTTACTCTAGTTCTACTGTGGATATCCTCATTTCTAAGTTTATCACGCAGAGAAACCCCGAGCATAGTTCTCTCCATAGCTCGCTGAGCGACCTTGACGATCGCTATTACTTCTATCATAAATAATTATTACCTCATGGCCGATTTCTTGAAAATTTGTGAAAAAAATGCGAATGCTTTCGTATTATAACTGTGTAAAATATTTGATGACGCGCAAGCCTACGCACAAACACAAAAATGCGACGATTTTAGATCAGCGCTACGGTTGACTGCAGTGCCAGAGAGACAAGGAGACAATCACTATACTCGTACATTCAAACTGGAAGCCATTTATAGGTGGTTTTGGCTAGGGGTTGTAATTCCAATTTAGGAATCAATTATACTCGGGTACTGTGACTACAAATTTATCGATTTATCCGTTCAATTTATGAAATGTAACTATCCTAACTCCTATTATCATGGAGGGCTTTTAAATTAGATGTCGAACATCATCGTTTGCAGGATCAGTGCTCGCGTCGCTACGGCAAAACATAGCCACTGCCATAACGGGATGTCGACAACCATCAACTATCTCATTGGTGGCATTATCAATATTCATCTTTTACGAGTATAATGCTTAAAATTTCATAGCACTCGCGCAAACAGGTTCTCCTGCAGCTCCGCTGGCAACTAAATTGTTATTACCACATACTCGGCGGTTTAAGAAAACTAAAGAATACATTGTAAGAAAACTAAAGAAAACATTGTAAGGGAACACTAATTTGAAATATTAAAAAATTTCCGAGCATATGTGAAGTCCCTCAACTGGCGTTTGTGTAACGCGGACTCTGCTTCAAAAATCCTCATAAATAAAAAAGCCTGTGGCCAGTAGAAAGACTTATAATATGTTATATATATATATATATATATATATATATATATATATATATATATATATATGGCTGTAACTTTACTTTTCGTAGTACAACTCCTACAAAAAATATATATATTTTATATATATTTATTTTTTATAGGAGTAGCAAGCAAGGCTCTTACCGGTTATGAAACCACTTTAAAATTATGAATATGAAAAAGGCTCCCACCAGTATTGTATTGTGGTATTGCAATGTACGCGTGTTAGCGCAACGTCTGAGCAGTTAACCGATTTATGCTGCTCATTGAAGCCTAAAATTATTTCTTCATTGTATTTATTTCTATTTTGCAGAACTTCTGTCTAGAATATCGCGGACAGGAATGCGGGTTGCCTGGTAAGGCGACTCGAAGCCAGCACACTGCGACGTTAATTGGCTTTGCAATTTTAATGCAAATAATTTATAAAACTGGCAACTTAGTTCCGGCGTAAAGTCAAACGACATAAGTGATGGAAAAATGGAATTTTAAGATTAGAACTACGAGGTAGAAGTAAGGCTTCCAGTTATTAGAATGTCAGGAGTTCGTTGCAAGTTTAAAGTTGCAATATCTAGTGAAATGTAAATAATTAATGCAGTTAAAGTGATTGTACTAGTTCCTTGTGTATGTTGAATCTATTGTTGTATTTACTAAGTAATTACCTATCTATTGTTATAAAAGTCAACCTACGTTAAGTTCCATGCTTTTATGAGATACGTCATGTAATTAAAATGCCGATATATACGTTCGTTATAAATGACGTAGAAATTGTCATATTTCAACTTTCCACATAAACCATAAAAGTACATATTAATCACTAAAGTACATTAAAATGTATTACCGATAATTATTATTCTTAGGTATTATAAAACTGTATTTTTTGTACTTATAAGCATAGTCTGTGTAATCGTTAATCAAACTTAATCATTATAATACGTCCGATCAATATTTTTTTGGTCCAATAGTTTTATTAAGTTTCCTGTTTGTTTATTTTAGAATGAAATAAAAAACATGCGTGAGTTTCGTGGAATACTCCATTGGAACGAAGTTCCTTTCGTAGTATATTATTATTAATAAACGTATTATATTATTGATTAACAAATACAAATAAATGAATTACTAGCGTCTATTAAAATGAAGCGTCATTTAAAATAATATTTCTTTCATGGCAAGAATAGAATGGAATAGAATAGAGTAATTTTTTATTCAATATAGATCACATGTGTAATTCTTATTGAAAGTCATTTTTTACTTTACCACTGGTTCGAAAAAAAACCTCTGTCCTGGGAAGAACCAGCAAGAAACCCAGCGGATAGAAGACCCAGCAAGATAAGAAAAAGTGCGAGGGAGATGGATATTATTCCATCTGGCTTCCTTAAAGCCGCCAAGGCCGTCTACTCTACGCAGCTGTGGTCGTGACGGAAAAATCTTACACTTTTCTCGCCTAGCCCCCATCCGCCAAATTCGTACCGTCCGATAAGGAACTTCGTTCCAATATTTGAAGTATACCATAACATGGCGTCGTTGGTATATCATTATCATCGTTATACTGTAAAAATGTATTGCTGGTCCTGAGACCTCTCCAGCTGTGGAGAAGATTTGACATAATTATTTGCTCCTCGATATTTTACATCTGATCTGGCGCAACCAGAAGTGGTTACAACGCCATCTAACGGACGTCATGAGTCAACCCACGGAACCAAATTGAAATATGAATTATTTTGCGTCACTATGCAGTTTACATTGATATTTCATATGTATTTCATTTAAAGTGGAATTATTTTAGATTAAGTAAATTACTCTCATATTGGCAAACTTATGTTTTTCAAATCACAACAAAAATATTGTCACCATATTAGTACTATAGTATTTATTATAATTTTAAGCTAAGCTCAGAACGTTCTGTGATAATTTGTAAACTTATATTCAATCTGATTGATTAAAATATTAGCCATCACTTCATTTTTTGTAGTATATGAGATTGTTTGTTAAATTCATTTAAGTTATTATTGTCATCTTTAAACAATTTTCAAAACAAATTTTTATTGTTATGTTTTCAATTTTAGTTGTATGCACATTTAATTTTAACAACCTAACCTTAAAAAATTAAAACTTAGTGCTTGACTACAATACTACCTAGTGGTAAGTGGTGATGAAGCCCAATCTGTAACTGTATTTTAAAGAGACAATGATTGCTCACAATATTTCTCTTAGTTTGGTAGATTGTGATTCTTTTGTTTATAATTGCATTATGAGTCTTTTTAAGTTCAATACTGAAAAAGATTCTTTAAAATTTGCGCCACCAGGCATTCTGTAATCGAACAATTTTCTTTCACTCGCCGCGCTTGCCAAGCTGGTAAGATAACGATAAACGCATATTCGATACTTTCCTATGGCCTGCGGGTAATGTTAATCCATATGATTAGTTTAAAATTTTGGCTCAACGTTATTTCATGATTTGTTCACAAATAGTCGGTCGCCAAAGCCTCGTCTGCCAGTTAGCACTATGCAGCGTATAGGAAAGCGTCCATTTTGTTTATAATACACCAAAACTCAGTTCTACACATTGAAACACGTTACGTGGCAAGTCGCTCAGGCGAACCGCCTGTGTAGCTGGCCGATAGTGCGTATCAACACTAAGATGGAATTTCATTAATTCTATATTTTTTATTTTTTCTGACTATTGTGATTTACATCTAATGAAATGTATTTCCTATTTACTGTTATCAATCCAATAATTTAAAGTTAATTTATCTTCTAAGGTGAGGGAGGTTTTGGAGAAAGTTTGTATTTTCCCTCTAACAGTGGATTTATTTTTTTAAATTATTATAAGCCAATGCTTGACTATGCTCCGTATCTTATATCGTATCTTAGCGTAGTAAAAGCCTATTCATCAATTTGTATGTTTGCACAAATATTGGCTTCTTCGAATATGTGTATAACCGACCGCTTATATACATATAGCCTGGATAATACGGTGTTGTATTTCCACAAAATCCAATTTACTGCTGTTTATTTTAAATCTAACCCAACCTAATCAGTTTTAATAAATAAAATTAAAATATGTTATTTCATCCCATTGACATTATACCTATTATCATTATATAATCACGTCCACATATCATTGTTACATACACGTAATGTAATAGTTAAAAATATTGTTCAATGTAAATAGTTTTAAATGAAATATGAAAAAGTATAAATATGGAAACAATATTACAATGAGAAAACATATTCATTATTTGTATAATATATTAATAAAAATATTGGTTCTACTTCATAAGTGTCTTATTATTATTTACTTACCTGTTTTATTTTGAAATTTAATCGACTCTTATCACCTCGAATTCCTATGTGGACTAAAAGTGAACGCCCACTATCCGAGCCGAACGCGTCGTACGATACGAATTTTAAAATTATTTACTTATATGAAATTAGTATATGAAACCTCGCACAACTGCCCGCGTGGAATTGTTTGAATCAGGAAGAACTTCAGAACTCCTAGATGAATTGGAATGACGTAATCAGATCCGGCGCGGGCGATGCGGTCGAATCGACCGATTACCTCGCATTCTGACAGTTGCATGCGACAGCAACGTGCGAGTACTACTTCTTCATTAAAAAAATGAGTGATTGTAATTTAATTTAATTAGTACTTTCTTCGTCTTCCATTAATAAAGCACTGACAATAAAAACCTCGTCAAAATCCATCACAATTTACAAGTTATTACAGTGCAACAGGTGTATATGAAATGGAAACGATTTTTTGGCGCGGTCGATTCTTTCGGCGCAGATATGTGTGCGAGCCCTCCTTGAATCCGATTCGTTCGACGCATTCGGCTTGGATAAGTGTGCTTTCACCTTAAAAGTCCAAAATAACTACAGTTGCAGTATAACAGCATTATTTTTAAGAAATAGTCAAAAATTAACTTTTGAAATCACTAATTGGTAAGTACACCATTAAATGATTCGATTTTTGTGCTGCACATATTATAACCTAAATGTTTTTTAATTTGTCTTTTACGTAACATGTTATTAGTAATTTTTAGACGGTGCTTTCGCTAAGATTTGTGTATTATGAACCAATCCAATCATTTCATCCCGTTGGTGTCGTAAGGCGCCACAAAGGAAAATTAACTGAGATGGGCACCAGCGTGTTCCTAATAACAACTCAAAATAAAAATAAATTATCGGTTTCCATCGCTGCCTGCCAAGAGTGGCAACTATAGCAAATATCCTTTATGACATGTGTGCTTATGTTCAGATTTTGATAGATAAATTAATGAATGATTACAAGTGTCACATAATTAGAAACAAATAAGACAGCCTATAGAAAACATCTACATGAAGAATTTATAAACACATATCCAGAATTAGCTCATGTAACAGAGCAAAGATTATCTGATCAAACAAGAGCTATTATTAATAACAAATATATTAACAGCAACAGACTAGAAGAAATTAAAAACCAAGTAACAATAGAATTAAGGAATAATAACACTAACACACAAAATATTGAATACATGAATATTGAAGATTGGAACACACAACCGCCAAACAACTTAGAACAACCTGGTGAATACATCCATACACTAAACACTCAACATACAATAACTTACACCTCTGACACACCTACACCTTGCCTTCAAAAATACCCCACAACGATAACACACTGACTAATATCGTATCCCACAGTCTCTTAAATACAAATGATGAAAATATCTTAAGTAGCACATACATTGATCAATTTGGACCTGTGCAAACTAACTTTGATGCTGCTCCAGAAATAAACTCTGAAATAGAAGACATGTTTCTACAAACTCAACAATATTTTTCAAATACACACCCCATTAACATGCCATACATTCCCAAGCAGAAATCGTCTAGAAAGTTCACTGCTATAGTAACTTATATAAACTCTATCATTCTTCCTAAGAACGTAAATCTACACACCGATTTCATCACATTGCAAATAAAATTTTATTGTGCAGCATGGACGGCAGCTAAATGCAATGGGGCTAAATATCACACTCTACACAAAATGAAAGACGAACATATATAAAGAAACAAACCAACATGGCAGGTCAGATTAGAAAGGAAAATCGAAAATTTAAGAGCACACATAGGCAGACTGACACAATTCATTAACGGTAGCAGAAGTAAAAAAGTAGTAGCTGCAGTAGAAGAAATAAAGATAAAATACCAAATACATGCACAACATGAAAACTCGAATACAGAACACTTACACTTTTTGGACACTTTAAAACAAAAATTAAATGCAGAATCCAGTAGACTTAAAAGATATATAACATGCACGAACCGCAAAGTACAATACACAAAATTTACCAACAATGAAAAATTATTTTACAGAAGCCTTACATCTAATAACAAAGACACCAGAAACCAAAATCTGGAAACACCTTCGTTCGAAACATTGTGGGAATTCTGGGCCAACATCTGGGAAAATCTAGTATCGCATAATAATCACGCAGACTGGATCAACGAGGCAACTCCAGAAATTCCAGAAATGAAATTTGAATTTATACCAATAAATACATTTATAGAAGTCCTCAAAGGCAGACATAACTGAAAATCGCCAGGCACAGACAATATTCACAACTACTGGTATAAGCAATTCACCAGCATACATCCATTCATACATAACCACTTAAAGACATTCATCCAATCACCACATTTACTTCCAACATACGTAACACACAGAGTAACATATACGATACCCAAAGACATGAATGACACCATAAACCCAGCGAAATACCGACCAATTACTTGTCTACAAACCTTGTACAAAATATTAACAGCCTGCGTAAGCGAAATAGTATATGAACATTTAACCAAAAATTATATTCCAGCAGAAGAACAAAAGGGATGTCGTAAGAATAGCAAAGGATTTAAATAACAACTTACTATTGATGCAATTATTTTGAACAGCGCTGTTAAAAGCAAGAAAGATATTCACACAATGTTTATTGATTACCAAAAGGCTTTCAATTCAGTACCGCATAGCTGGTTATTAGATGTCTTAAATCCGTATAAAATTCATCCAACACTGAAACCTTTCTTAAAAAATCAATCGTCTTTGAGTGTAACTACTGAACCAATCTGTATAAAACGTGGTATATTTCAAGGAGATGCCCTAAGTTCTCTGTGGTTTTGCATGGCCCTCAATCCACTTTCACACTTACTAAATAATACTGACATGGGATTTACATTAAAAAATAATAACACATAATATACCCTAACACACCTTATGTACATGGATGACATAAAGTTATATGCAGCAGACAAAAATACACTATTCCAACTAGCACACATAACACAAAAATTTTCTCAAGATATTTGTATGTCATTCGGAGTAGATAAATGCAAAATATTGTCTATTATAAAAGGCAAGATTCAAAGCAATAGTTACACACTCAATTCATGTGAATCAATAGTATATATATATATATGTATCAATGATCGAATCGTAATTTAATAATAATTTTCAATTATTAGTTTAGTTAAAAGAATATCAGAATTTCTATAAATTAATAAAACGAATTGTCTGTGAAGAGCGAATTAACTATTATGGGACATAAAAATCCACTCATTGATTATATACCTGCCATATAACCAAAGTATCCACTATGCGCCTCTTCTACAATAATTCCAGGATTTTAAGCAATCGCCACGCTTAACAGGTGCATTGGCGCAGTCTCAGTTTTCATATTAGATTGCGCTAGCACTTCTTATTAATTTGTGATATTAGATGGTCCTTTCCATAGACTAGTAAATATTATTATTTTTATTAAAAAATACTTTATTGTTCTAACTAATAAAAAGGTTACAGAGGGCGGACTTAATGCCTGTTAGCATTCTCTGCCAGTAAACCCATGGCGTGGTGAGAATTTTTTTTATTATTTTTTATAGGAGAGGGGCAAACGAGCATACGCCTCACCTGATGGTAAGTGACTACCGCCGACCATGAACAACTGCAACACCAGGGGAACTAGGGGAATTGCAGATGCGTTGCCGGCCTTTTAAAAAGGAGTAGGCTCTTTTCTTGAAGGTCCCTAAGCCGTATCGGTCCGGAAAAATCGCTGATGGTAATCGATTTCACAAGGAAGTTGTACGAGGAAGAAAACATCTTCTAAATCGCACAGTGGTGGACCGCCAATCATCCAGATGGTGTGGATGGTATCGGGAGTTCTGCCGCGATGTGCGTTCGTGAAATTTGGCTGCTGGGATTAATCCGAACAATTATGTTAAACAGTAAATGCGAATATAATTAATAGAATCAGGCGTTACTTTGCGGAAATCCATTATATAAAAGCTTTTATAAAAATTTACTTCGCAAATATCCGCGTTATAAAATAAAATGATGTGTCTTACCTAGCTAAGTACTTACCGGTTAGCCACCGTAGAGTCTATATCACCTGAGGATGCCTCGTGTAGAGGCGAAACACGTGTCGTATTATCGTCAGTGGTGTGTCTTGCCTAGTGTAGTGGTGTTGGGAGTAGCGGTGCTGGGATTAGTGGTGACGGGGTTAGTGCACGCAATTGAGGGAGGGCGGGAGGTGCTTCTTCATACTAGGTAAGACACATCATTTTATTTTATAACGCGGATATTTGCGAAGTAAATTTTTATAAAAGCTTTTAGTAAATGCGATAGAAAATGCAAACGGATGCAACATCTCTTCGCAGTGCCAATGAATCGAGCCGATCGGAAAGGACTCGGTCGTCGATGATTCGAGCCGGTCTGCACTGGATGCGGTCAAGTGGAAGGAACTGGCACTGGGAAGCCCCTGCCCAGAGATGGAAACAGTATTCCATGTGAGGCCAAACCTGCGCCTTGTAAAGTTGCAGGCAGTGTGCCGGCATGAAATACTGTCCCGCTCTGCTGCTTTTTAGAGGCCAATTTGACTTTCTCTTCCAAGTGACCACATATCGAGTGACGTGTAGTTACACGTCACTCGATATGTCGACACTGAGGATTCCGATGCTGGCTGAGGCAACAAGGGGAGTGCCTTGAAACTGAGGAGATACGGCAAAGGGGTCTTTTTAGCGGTAAATGCGCGTACTTGTGTCTTCTGAGGATTAAACTGGACTAGATTTAGTCGCCCGCAATCCGAGACTTTGTTCAGCAAAGACTCGACTTTATACAGAAGTTTGTTCCGGTACACGGCGACGTTTTTCCGAGAAATATTGGCACGGCCGGTGTATAGAGCATCACCAGTGCTGTCATCCGCATGTTACCAGTTGAATGTTGAATGTTACCA